TTCAGGGTTGGCTTTCTTAATTCCTTCCTTGTATGTCTGTCACACACATCAGGACTCCCCTGGTCCCATAGCTGATCCCCACCCTGTGCTCTTGACTTTAGAGACACCCAGGTGCTCTCAAGACAGAGCTGGCCCTTAAAGACCAAGTCATGTCCCCTGCTCACCAGCTCATCCAGCTTGATCTCCACTAGTGCTCACAGTCACTCTCACACCTTCACACTCCAGCTGCTCGCACCAGGGACACACGGACTCTCCAACCCATGGTCTGACCTGTTGCTGCACTCACAACCCTGTGCACACAGAATGGAGAGCCATCACCCAGGGAAGTGCTGGGAAGCTGTTGAAGAAGTCAGGACAGACTGACCTGTTCAAGAACAGAGCATGTTGAGCCAAGCAAACTGACCACCAAGTATTTATGTGCAGTTGCCCTTTTTATTCCCTTGCCCCTCTCTTTCACCACTCTTTCTTCTCCCAAATTATCTAAAACCCTCTCATGTCCCACTTTTGCTTTCCCTTCTAAACGTCCTATAATAAATTCTGTGTAATCATTAGCTGCTTTTCCCCTGCATTCCCCAATATGCCCCACCCCCAGGGCAGCAAGCCTCTTAGTACAGAAGAAGATCTAGAGAGCTGCTCCCAGTGTTCATGGTGATGGGTGTCACATCTGGATGTTGGTGCTAACGCACTGCTGGGACAGTCCTGGAGGGACACAGACAAGGTGGTTGTACCTCAGGAGTCCTTTATTTGGGTTTTTGCCTGCCTTTGTGCCCCTGGGCTTCTCTGGGCTTGTGCAGATGAGTCTTTAATGGGCAGATGGCCCCTGTGATAGGCCTGGGAGGATCCAGGTAGGGTATTATTTGGTTTCCTTATCCTGCCATTGTCTCTCTGAGCCCGTCCTCTGTGGATGTGCAGATAAGCTTTATTGCACAAATTGACAGCCTGGGCAATGCTTCTGAAGTCCTTCCATATAGTCCATCCCTGCTTCCACTCTCCCCCTACACTTTCTTCCAAATTCTAAGCTCAGTCAGTAACCCCTGATTTGGCCAAGTTGGCCTCCTGCTACAGCTTTGACATCCTGACAATCCGGATAAACCACTCTTCTGCTTTGAGAATGTCCCTGAATCAACTTGTTTTCTCGGGCTCCGTTGATGTTCAGTGTCCCCTGGGGTCACACCTACCAGGTCTCCGGAAAGGCCACAGTCATTCAGTCACAAGTGCTTCTGTCACACTGAACTGAGTACATGCACAGTTTTGTGTCTGTTTTCCTTCAGAAAGCCATTTTTCAACATTTCCTAAGCAGGAATTTCTGACTAATTTTCGGTTCTGATAGTAAAATTCCCCATCCTGCTGATTAATCTGTAGAAGTGGGTCATTGACTCCATGGTTTTGAGAACACTACTACTAGATCAATTCATCCCCAACAAAACACAGTGAAGCAGCACACCTCTACTGCACCAGGTCACTGAAAGACAACCCAGTGAGTGCTGGTGCCCAGCACCTGAGCATTGGACTGATCTACCTGAGGCGTCGATTTTGTATGGACAAACTGTAGAGCAGCTGGGCGTGTGGAGAGGGGCTCTACCTGAGCAACCCAAGCAGGTCTACTGCTCATTGTCCCATGCCTACCTAAGCTTATTCCCAGTTACAGATCTGACAGGTGATAAACAGATAGACCAGAGAATCTAGTGACTCACCCAGGAATAGCTTTGTGCTGGTGGCCCTAAGGCATACTCCACCCAGGCATACTTCAGCAGTGCACAAGTACTGTGTTTGAGAAACAGGAGGCAATAAGGAAGGAGGAGAGAGAATGGTGTGAGCCTGTGCAAGTATGGGGAAGTTTTGTCTTTAATGAGGACTTCCCAGTTTAGATGTTGCTTTGTCATGCACTGCTGTGCTGGCTCTTTCTCCCTCCACAGTTAAAAACTGTGTGTGTCAGCCTTAGGATTCAATCCAGCATTAAGCCCTTCATACACGTGCTTCTTCACATTTTTTACACAAAAAACCAAAAATGTTATCATATTTGTTAGATTTTATCCATATTGTTTTTTCTTTCTTTCCTTATACCCTTGAATTCCTGCACAAATCTTGAGACAAGAAGCAGCCACACAACATCTAGCCAAGAGTGTGTGCGGGGTAATAAAAAGGTCACCAACAAAGCTACAAGGCACAGTGGTGACATTTGGTCCTCCCACACTCCCCTCTTATGTGAGAATGCATAGGAAAAAGATAGTACTTTCTGGTTGAGAGAGCAGACTGCGTTATTGAGAGGAAACAGGCATCGTGCTTGTCAGCATGGACTGATCCAGCACTCTTGTTTCCCACCAAAAGCCCTCAGCAGCACATGAAACAAAATGAATAATTTCCACACGGAAAAACAGGCTGCTTACAAGAGATAGAGATGAGAGAGATGGAAATCCCCAGCAGCCTGTAATGGGCAAACTGCAAATAATGACTCTCTGGTGCTATGTGGGAGGATAAATTCCTGTGTGCGGGTCTGGCAGTTTAAGCCTGTTGCCCTGTGGTTGGGTGGGCTTGCCATGGCCAGCAGCACTCAGAGGAGGACCTGTGCTTGAAGCAGCCCAGATGACTGCAGTTTCAAACCTACATGCTGTAAGTGGGGTTAACCCCAAAACATGCCATCAGATCAGCACCTAGATGCAGTGATAACAGTGGTGAGACATGGCATGCCACCTACCCACCGATGTTCTTGCTGTCTCTGTGAACGGAAGCCATGCTCTCCTCCATGTTGAGGAGATTAACCCTCCCTAATATCTGATACTCAGACTTTAACTTATAATGAAGCATTTTGTCATTAGAAGTAATCTTAAAGATGCTACAGGAGAAGAAAAATCTTTCTCAAGCAACAACAAAGTGAGCAAGGCAATACCACCATGCTGAAGAAGAAAACTGGGTAACAGCAACCAGCTGAGAGGAACAGGTTTGCGGTTGGGAAGGGAATGCTGGTGCTCAGACATTCTCCAGACAGCTCACCTGGCAAACAGTGTGTGTTCCTGGCAGTAGATATGGCTTTGCAAGACACACAAATGGGACATTTATCTTGTCCTTTAGATGGCCACCGGTGCAGGCTCAGAGCTGAGGCACTGTTATCTGTCAGTCTCTTTGCCTATTGCCCTCGGGCAGGTGCAGTAAGGACTGCCACCAGGAAAACACAGTACAACTAACAGGTTAAATAACTATCCTATACCCTGCAGTTGTTCATGCGCACAGCCCTCCAGGAAGGCTCCTATTGTTGCAGACAGAGGAGTTGAAAGCAAAGAGAGCTGCACGGGATGCTCAGACGCTGAGTTATGAATGCATTTTCACAGGAACTGGTGTGTGCAGCTTTATGATACATAGTTCTTCACAGCTGTCACTTTGTACTAGCTGGTTTCCTTACCCCAGCTCATTTATCATTATATTTTCAGTGTTCATCTCAAACCTCTAAATTTTATGACAGCATTTACCCTGTGAAACTGGGAAGCAGTAAGAAGACAAGGGTCACTGCTCTTCCAGCAAAAGGCAGGAAAGACAGAATTCCTTTAATTATTACAAGAGTTTCTGCTCTTTCCAGTTCAAGTTTTCTCATTCTTAAATTCTGCTGAGAAGTGACAGCCAGTAACTACAAGTATCCACAGGACTGGGAGTGATTAGTGGCACTGTAAGTACTGTGGTATCATTGAAATCTAGGCATGACCTTAAATGAGTCTTCATGACTCCTAAACTGTAGTGTTTGGAACAGCCTTCTTATCTATCGTATGGGCAAATGCACTGCTAATATAACTGGTCAACATGATCTTGTACTTGGCCTTGTTGACCTTCAAGAGGGTTGTGCTGGTGCACTTCTCAAGCGTGTCCAGGTCCCTCTGGATGACATCCCTTCCCTCCAGTGTGTTGACCACACCGCACAGCTTGGTGTCATCGGCTGAGGACACACTCAATCCCACTCTCTATGTCACCAACAAAGGTGTTGAACAGGGTCAGTCCAGATACTGACCCCTGAGGGACACCCCTCATCACTGGTCTCTTCAAGCCATTGATTGAAATTCTGTGAGTGTGACCATCCAGCCAATTCCTTATCCACTGAGTGGTCCATCCATCAAATCCGTGCCTCTCTAGCTCTAGAAGGATGTTGTGTGCAATAGTGTCAACTGCTTTGTAGTCCGGGAAGACTTGTGCAAATGTCAGTTGCTCTTCCCTTATCCACCAAAGCTGTAACCCTATCATAGAAGGCCACCAAATTCCTAGAAGCACTGAAAAGATTCACAATGTATATTTTCTTCCCTATGTTTGCAGGTCACTATTGTTTTGGACAGGTTCAGTCCTACCTGCTGCATACCACATTTTACCAGACCAGATTTACCAGATTACTACATCCAGCACGTTCTGATATGAACGATTCTTTGTGTCATTGGCCACACTTTGGGTGCCAGACCCATCCACATTTGACAAGTAATGAAAGAGATAAACTTTCAAGTGATCAGGCCTTGGGAACGGCTGGGGGTGGTCTGATATCCTTTGCTGCCTCAAAGATACCATCTATAGAAGTTGCAGGCAGCAGTGCGAGCTGGCTGCTTGTCTCTTACAATAATCCTAGCAGTAGTCTGCAGGCTGATAAATTATGCATAATAGATGTCCTTTCTTATAAGAGTCCCCTGCTGCAATACATGGTACCATCAAAGCAGAGGCTGGCAATTATGTGCTTAAAGTATTTCTATCTTCCAATCTTTTACACCCACTTTTCAATCACCCCACCCAGTGAGTTAGTGTGAAGGCTGGCAGAAGAGTGAATACACCTTGATAAGACCAGGATTAGTTAGGTTTACTGCCTTGGAAATGCATGTAGCTCAGAGGGCTCCAAAAGCTGGCTATCAGGTTATGAGACACAGTGCTTTTAAAACTGTAATTTTCCTTACAGAAGGCAAACATAACCACTGGCAAAACAGTTCAAGAAGGATACAGATCCTTGAGCACTTCAGTCTCAGGGAAATGCTAAATTCCTTTTGAGGATACTGAATTCTTGTGGAATAGTTGGTCAGCTTAATTAAGGTCATCTACTTGGGAAAACTGCTTAGGAAAGAAGTGAAATCCACGTCACTCCACAGACCTAAGAGGATGCAAAACCCTTGTGAAACACACTGGTTTTCACCTCCCTTTGTCCTTCCCTGTTTCACTCTCTTCTGTGCTCCCTTCTGTTCAGGGCATGCTGTTTCATCCCTTCCTTGCTAAGTCACCATTATCATCTTACTTACACCTCCTGTAGAAATACTCTTGGGCCAGAACATTTGCAAGGCGTGAGTTCATGCTTACATTCATACTGAGAAAGAAACTACCAGATTCTGAACCACTGGGAGTATGTGTTTTTACTGGCATTTCTGCTGCTCCCTCAACTCTGCTTGACCTATTTATTCATTCTGATTAGGCTGCCAAGGCTTGCTGAAAGGAGGCTTGGCATTTACATGTCTTTGACATTCCTTATGTAGTTTGAGGTGTTACAAAGTCAGCAGCAAGGACATCTTCCAGAGCTGCTGAGTCTGCGTTCATTTATTTATTCTTGATGAATCAATGTCATATCTGAACAGAAGAAAACTTTTTCACACATCAGGTTACTGGAAAACAGTGGGTTTTGAACATGTAAACAAACATTAAGGGGAAAACAAACCAAATTCAATAATCTCTCCTGTCTAATAAAAGATCATGAAGTTCTTCTGCAAATACCTCACATTCATGATGAAAACAAGGAACAAATAAAGAACAATCATTCGAGCCTGCCAAGGCAAAGCCCAGATGATTACTAGAATGATTATGGGGAAAAACTTCCTTTATGAGCAAATTCTTATGAATTGTCTCCTACAGAGCTTCCTGAGCTTCCTGCAGAACCTGCTGTGGGGACCGCTGAGGGAACAGAAGCAGTGTCATGAAGAGAAAACAATGTTCTCCCTCTTATGAAGACATGATGCTGTTAGGGAGACATAGAATAGAGTATTTCAGTTGCAAGGGACCTACAACGATCATTGAGTCTGACTGTTTGACTACTTCAGGGCTGACAGCCAGATATGCCACTGCAAAACTGAGGCTTAATTTCTGAGTGAAAACCTCCCAGCATCTGCATCATTTCTCAGAAAACAGGATCAGAAAAATTTAGATTATGTGCTTAAATTGTTGCTCACCAGTGCAGGCTTTGGTTGGAGCATAGCCTTTCAGAACTGCCTGGCCTAACAGAGATGTGCCACAGGTGCCCTTTTTCACGGTCAGCCTGTTAAAGACAGATGATCAGTAAGCGGTTATTAACAATTTATTAATAACTTACATTTATTCTGACATGGCAGGGGGGTTGGAACTAGATGATCTTAAGATCCTTTCCAACCCTAACTATTCTATGATTCTATGACATTGAATAGCTCCTTTTGTTTAGATTTTGAGATCTGAGTCTTATTTTGTGTTGGCTTTTGACTAAGGAAGAAAATTGCCCTATTTAGAGAGGAGGAAAAGGGTCTAACTTCCCTCTTGCAGAGAACACTGAATCTGTCATGAGATGATTTCACACAGCCTCAAAAACCCACAAGTCACACACTAGTCTTAGAAATTCATGTGACAACTAACCAAGACTGCAAGGGACAGAGAAATAAAATACCTCTTCGTGTGTCAATGAATTATATTTTTATGACTACTGCAAGGTTGATAACTGCCTTCGGTACAACTGGATTCAACACCTATCATTTAAAACCAGATTAATTTAAGAGGAAACAGGCTGGGTTGCATGAATTCATCTTTTAATCACACATCAGCTGGAACATATGATGCGATCTTTATTTGAGCAAAGGCTTTGGGAGTTTTATGGGTAATTTCTTGAGATTCGCGAGTGCCCGCTGATACTTTGCAAAGTTTAAGTCGGGGAGGTCACAGCAAGATGAGGAGCAGAAGGCAAGCAGCAGGGAGGCTCTCAGGTCGAGCCCCGAAAAGCCATTGTTCGGCTTTAAAAACGACTGAATTGTCCTGAGCCCGCTGGCGACAGTGCGGTGCAAGCGGGCTTCTGTTCGGGGGCAGCGGCACCCTCAGTCTCACCCTCCCGGCTCTGCCGGAGGCGGCTCGGGGTGGCCGGTGGAGGCGGGGGTCAGCCCGGCCTCCGGTCAGCCGCCGGCACTGAGCCCGGCGAGGGGCGGGGGGGACGGCGGCGACACTCTAGAAAGCTGTGTTCCCTCTGCGAGGGGGGTGCAGTTGCTGCTGCTCCTCAGGCAGCCCTCGCAGGATGCCGTTCCAGCACGGCTCTGCCCGGACGCGGCAGCGCACCGTCCTGCTGGTGGGGATCGTGGTGCTGCTGGCCGGCCTCGTCCTCGCCGTCGTGCTGGCCTCCATCCTGACTCACGGGAAGCCGGAGGGCAGTCCTGAAATGCTGAAGTGGAAGGACAGAGGGACCACTAAGAATCTGCAAGAAGTCATCCTGGGAAGATGCTACAACTACGTCATGGCACGGCACTCTGAGCTGGGGTGAGTAGTGGTCTCAGTTGTGCACCGGGTGTGTAAAGTGAAGAGAAGAGTGCTGTCTCCCACCTCCACCTGTCCGTGTCCACTAGGTTTGCAGTAGCAGAAGGAAATCAGGGGAGTAAGACCCCTGTTTTGCAGCAAACTGGGCAAACTCAGACAGCAACTGGCAGTGCCCGAATGGAGGCTTTTTAAGGAAACTACATGCAGAGCCAATGTAATGCTAACCCTAGGTCAAAACATAATCAGAAATGCATTTTGCAACTTCCTTAGAGTCATAAAATAAAATTAAAATAAAATAAAATAAAATAAAATAAAATAAAATCTATATCCTAACAGGTCTGAGTATGTGAAAGTGAATCAATTTGCTGTAAAGCTGATCTGCCAAAAATCCTGTAACGTGTGACCCCACATTCACATAACCAAAACTACGCAGGAGGGAGGAAAAGAAGAAGATTCAGCACAGATTTATAGAATGGACAAAGATGTTAGAAAGACCTTAGAAAATATCTTGGGGTTATGCAAAACAGATGGTTTTGGTATGTGGGCAAGACCTCACAATGAGCACAGACAGCTTGCACAGAGAATGCAGACTGATCACAGCGGCAGCACGGCAGTCCCAGGCAAAACCTTCACCTGGGGGTGGTCCCTGCTCAGCCCATTACAACAGGCAGGGAAACACTCCTCTGCAGCAGAAGAGGATTGCCTGGGCCAAGATCTGCAGTAGAGTGTGAGGGCTAAGAACTGATTTATTGATCCCCTTCACCGCAGGAAAAGGCAGACTATAAATATGGTGTGCCCCAGGCCTCCTGCAGGTAGTGAGGACACCCAGACTCTCTAGACAGGATCCAGAGCAGCCAGGGTCTCTCAGCAGGGACCCATCCATCACTTCTGTGGCACCAGCCACCCGATTTTGTGCCTGCAGTAAACCTCCAGCAGATATTTCCACCAATATGGCTTGAGCACCACAGGGCTGCCCCACACTCTGGCCAGGTGACAGAACCCTCCTGGTTTTTGTCTTAATAAAGACAATTGTCCCTCTCTTGTTTTCATGACATTAAACTGATGGGAACAAAACTGTATGTAGTTTGCTTGCATTTGGACTTCCCTTGGCCTTGGATGTCTGGTACTGTATGGAAAAGCAGCACTTGAAAGAAAATGGACACATGGAAAATAATGGGCCAGGAGTGCAGAGACTTTACATTAAACACCTAAGTGGGTTTAGTTAAGGGGGATTCTTTTACAAGTAAAGTAAAAAAGTTCCTGAAGCTTTTGGAAAATCATATACACATTTCTAAAATCACACATTATTTTATTACAGAAGTGTGCAGTCAGTATCTAAATCTGAAACTATTTTGAAGACTAAGAGCCTTTATTACTTATGCTTGTTTCATTCAAATTGGGGTGCTGAAGATGTAAAAAACCCTTTTGTGTAAATATGTTTTCAGCCAACACATGTACATATTTGCTTGCAACACAGTCTGAATCTGGACCACAAATATTGCTGGGAATAATTCATTTAAGGCATTATTTCAAGGACACTGTGTAAAAAATCACAAACCCATGATCACGAGTTTTCTAAAAAGGCTGTTTTTACAAGGCATGACATTTTGTGCTGTTCATAATCCAACACTTTACTAGCTTCATGGCTGTGAGCTCACTTTCTTTCAAATTAAATGATTTCCGTATAGTAGCAGCCTTTTATTTTATGTAAGAGACAACTATGCTTGTTTACATACACTTCAAATGTTCAGGAGGTTCCTGAACAGAAAATCAAGTGTAGGTGCTTTTCTGGGAATCCAACTTGAGATTCCCCATTTCTGCTCCTGCTGAGCTCTGTGCAGTCTGCCGTGTAACCAGCTGCTTCTGTTGCTGGCACTTCCTGATAATGAAGTGGGTGCCTTTAGGAAACATCAGAGAGGCCTGTATCTTTCATCCCACGCTCTTTCATCATTAATGTAGGCTTTGGATCTTGCATTGTGTGGGATCTTTGATACACTTAATCAAAGATAAGGAGGAGGAACAGGGAACTGCAGAAACTCAGGCAGGCTTATGAGCTGCGGAAGCTGTGTCCTGTGCACGGCTAGGACTTCTGCTGCCACTGCTTCCACCATGGGAACCTTGCTGTCTTGGTTAGAAATCTTCCGATTTCCTCATAAATTTGTACAGTCTCTTCTTGCCCTTTTAATCTTACATAAACATGAGCAGTTGTTTAAAAAGCCCTGGGGTTGGTGAACTCATGGCCATTTCCTCATATTTTTACTTTTTTGTAGTAGAACCACTAAGTTCCATCTTTGACAATTCTTTCTTTTTTTTAATAGCAGTTTAAGCACTGCAGTAGTTAGTGAGTGTGACTACTACTGTTTTGGAGTGCCATATTTCAAATTGGAATAGATAGCAGGTTTTGGAAAAAATGGGGAGTGTTGATATATAAATATGGACTTTTAAATATTTCTAGATATCGCAGCTGGAGTTAACATAGGCCAGGAGTCTACAGCCCCCATTTCAGCTGTACTTTTGCAACTGCGTACTATAACTCATGTGAGAAAGCCATGGATGTGCTAGTGTACACCTTCACCATCATGGCTGTGCTTGTGTACACCTTCACCATCATGGCTGCTTCAGTCCTAGAGGATACCTCCTTGTGCTCTCCACATTCTTACTGGAGCCCCAGATACTATACACAGTGGCCATGCTCTGGTCATGTTCTTCTCTTTTCCAGTATGATTCGTGGGCTGAACCCAAGCCCAGTGAGGCCACTGGAATGAGTTTTGTGAGCACATCATGCAATCAGATTTTAACCTGTTGATTAGCTTATTTGCCATAGTCACCATAATATTTGGGTTCTGTATCAAACTTCATCACTAAAGAGCAGTTCTCAGGTGCTGTTTACAGCCCCTCCTGATGATAATTCTGTTCAACTGCCTGTGTGCAGTTCAGTCCTTGGTTTTGTTTCTGCTGCTGGCTGGATGACTCATCATTTATACACATAGTTTCCTCAGTTAGCCTTCCTGCTTAGATCTGTCGATGTGCCAAAATTCAGGAGAAAGAGGCAGGGAATACCGAATGTTTATATAATGCATTCTCAGTGTTAGCCCCATTTATTAGGAGAAAATGTGGATGGTATAGCAGCAGGCTTTGGGTGTTTTGTTCCCTGCATGCATTGTTGTACACCGGGATACTGCCATTAAAGAGCAGTATTTCTTTTTGGCTTCCCTGAAAAATGCTGGCTGCTGCCGGAAGACGGAGTTAAAGCAATAGTTTCTCACAGCTCAGTAGCATTGTATATTTTCAACATTAACAAAATCTGGAAGTTCTGCTTTCACTAGTCTTGCAAAAAAAAAAACCCTACTCATCAGCCACGGCCATTGGTATGTGTTGCAGTTTCATCTGAATAAAGGCCAAAGGCAGTTTGGTCTGAAGGAAGGATTTGACCTCAAATTACTTGTCTCCCCTATTCCAGTAGTACGGACTCCCTCTTGTGGCTATCACAATTCTCATACTCCGGGTCTCATGCAATGCAAATTCAAGTTTGCAAGAATTTATCCCCTGTATAATAAAAGGAGGAAAGGGCAATGAGGTGCGCAGAGCTGCATGCTCACCAGCACCAGGCTTGTGCAGGGCCAGCTCAGCACCAGTCATCTGACACATCAGTGCTGATCCAGACCAGTTGTGGCCACCCAATAACTTACCCATTGCTGCAAGGACACTGTTAAAATGGTTTTGCACCTTCATTCCCACTGAGGAAGAACAGCTAGTAACAGACATAGCGTGAAACTTGTTGATAAGAAGTTAACTGATTTATTTTTCCCCTTCAGCAAGCTTGAATTGGCAGGCTGAGGTCAGATATGATCAGCACTTTGGGGAAGGAAGAGAGAAAACATGTTACCTGAAAGGTCATAGTCAGGAGTCCCCAGAACACAAACAATGCTTTTTCTATTTTTTTTAATCTAGAAATAAACTCATTTAACATTTGCAGCTCAAGTGATTTTTCATTCCCAGATAATGATGACTCCCCCTCAGATCTGCAGCCACTTCTCCATCTCTGATCCACCCTAGCTAAGCCAAGCTTGCAAGGACCTATTTACAACTGGCTGAAGTCTAACCTCTAGCGGTGAGAGAGCACCAAGGATGCAGAGAGGGAGCCACTTCAGTAACGTGTGGGACTCTCCAGGCCCAGCAATCCTACTGTGCCTGAGTAAGCAGTGCAAACACCTAGTGATAAAGATGCAAAGCGCAGAACTTCAGTACATTTTTCATGCAATACTGTGTGGACACACAAGATGTACTTCCCCCGTAGATACAATTGGATCAACTAATGTTGTTTTCATAGTTTGCAGCAAATTCTTTCTATATTAAATTGTAACAGCCTGTAATTCCTTTGAATATAGTAAAAGTTGGTGCGTGTCCAGGAGAGATTTGTTTTCTGACTGCGTGACCATGAATGCATTTTGCATTTCCATTCCTTTGCAGCCTGTGGAGATGGAGATATATTTTGTTAAAATGAACATATGGAACATAATTTTGTGTGAGATACTATTGCACTTGCAGCATAATTTCTTCCAGAAAGAAATCTGGGTTTTGTTGTATGCTTACTTTTGCATTTTGCCTTCATGCTTTGCTAGGCACTTTTACTCTGATTTCTTTGTATTTGTTCACTGGTTGTTAGCATTCTCACATCAAGCACGGCACTAAACAACAGCCGTGATTTGATTCAGTGTCACAAAAATCTTAGCTTTATTTTATATAACCATGACATATGAAACTTACCTGAGATTTGTCTTTTCATTAAGAAAATATGCTTTATATAAGAGAAACCTTTACTGAATCTTCTGAAAAGTAGTGTTACGACCTAATAGTAATGAATTAGCACCCTATTAGAGTGCACTGCAGACTTCCAAAGCTTCTCAATTTAATATACATCAAAGTGCAAAGGATTTAGCTTTACTCAAAAACCCACACTATCTTAAAAAAAAAATTGAATTGTTACTGTTACGCCATCTCTT